TTATTATTATTATTAACATCACCATGATGACGACGATCATCATCATTATTATTATAACTTTTTTTTAAATGTATTATCATTTTCATTATTAAGGTTACTCATTATTACATTAAATGGAATTCAAATCTGGACTCAAATTCTACCGAACCAGAACACCGCGATGTGACGCCTCTGAGTCAGCAATACCAAGACAAATGCGTGTACAGGTGTATCGGTTGAGCAGAATCAGTCATATTGGGCTCATGAAAGCCATAAAATGGGAAGTCAGGCATAGTGACGGTAAGTAAAAAATATTTTTAAAAACATGACAACGGTGACACTTGTTAAGTCCTCGTTGCACGAGTCATAAGCACATACGCAGCCACGCATCGCCAGGAAGAGAATTCAGGCAACAAATTACTACATGCAGTGACAGTAAAAATATTCCACATCTCCTTCGACACAACTTTGAGTAATTTGGCGTGGAAAGGGCTGCTTCGGGCTGAATGAACAGTACAGGATGCCTAGTAAACAGACACCCATTAGAATAACTTCCCAACACACGGGATTCGAACTCTCATCTTCTGCGCGTGACGGCGGTGTTAAGAAAAAGTGAACACAGAAAATACGGCACAGAAGGAGAAGGCTACGCCACAGCATCCACCAAACACATGTAGGCACGAAAAGCACGTACAAAATAATTATGAATCTACGAGTAATTTGCGTTTCGGTATTGCATTTTGCATCAGTATCAAATATGACATAGCCGTAAAAAATGCTACTTTCGAATAGAGCACAATCTGTAAGACCAACAGGGGGGAAGAAAAAAATCCCACAACCTAGAATAAATAAAACAAAAAGCCTCACAGTGCGAACAAAAGGATCTCTGTCCCGTCCGACCAGCACTGAAGCATTGACCACTGTGGTGCACAAGAAGCCGTAATGCACTGACCACCTTACACACACTGGCGGGGGCCGGGGGTCGGTCTCCGGGGGTAGAAGATCTCCTCGGCCTGCCGGGGGCCGCGACACTCAGCACTGTGTGTTTAATGACATTGGTCCGGACCAGACCAACGGTAGAAAAAAAGAGGG